CCCCAAAACCCCAAAACCCCAAAACCCCGTGATTTTATAAAATAATTGAAATAATTATGAGTATCATTGGAAAGGAAGAACGAAACTGATTGAAGTTAAATAAGTCTGCTACTGAGGACAATATTGGACCAGGAAGTTATCCTAGCCCTTCCATTATTGGCCGGAATAACAAAAGTATTTATCAAAGCTTAACTCAATTTTAGCTTTGAAATTTTCAAACAAATAGTGGCTCTAAAATAAATAAGGTAAATATAATATTTACACAGTCAATTGTAGAGATTTGATGAGGAGGAACCCTTGAAAGACATTCGGAAATTTGTCCATAGAAATAACAATAAGGCATGTAAGTCACCCTCTTATGACACATAGATGAAATTGGAGAGTCCTCACAACATGACTTTGTAGTTGGCTTCTCTGAGATTGGGAGAATAAATGGCAAAACAAGGATAACTCCTGAAAAATGAAATAGCATACAAACTCCTAGACCTGATAACTCATTTATTTCCAAAGTTGAAAGATATTCTTTTTGCAAGAAAGAGACAGATTTTGTACCAGGACCTGGATATTATAACCAGAAGTAATCAATGGAGCAGCAGAGACTCAAATAAGCATAAAAAATCAAGTGTTCCTGACTTGAGAGTCAAGAAAGGATACTCTTGTAAATATCCTGAATCCCATATCAAAGATAATCTTGATTCTGTTTTGCTACTCCCAGATGCATCAGGATTGCTAACATTTAAGACAAATACGAGCACAGAAGTTTTAAAGAATGATAGTTTTGACTCTTCATATCATAATCTGGCTAAATCTTTCCAAAGTAAATAACTACTAATATTCATAGATAACAAGAAGCCAAATTTCCACACATCAAGCGTTGCCAAGAATCTTCCTTCACTAAAATATACATTGAAGGGCGAGGCAGGTAATTTTTCATTGTCTAATCTCCAGATGCTCTTCCCAAGAAATATTATCCAGTGTTTGAGAACGAATTCATTAAAGCTAAAGCAGTGAGAAGATCTTTACAGAATTTGTTGCCAATACAGAGTCCAAAGAAGAAATCCACCCTGGAAGTTATAAAGAAAGACCAAAGAGTAAAATCTCTAGCTGAACGGAAAGAGCTGAAGGATGCTCCAGGCCCTGGACATTATGATATCAAGTTTGATGTCCAAGTCAGGAAGGCCAAGCCTGAACAGTTCCAGTTCTTTGGGTCTAATTCTAAACGATTCCCGTCGATTAAGAGGAATCATGAGACCTCGAATATTAGCCCAGGAATGTATGACGATGAAATACATGAAGAGATGTATTATAAGCTTCAGAAGGACAATTAAGATCAAGAAGAAAGTCCCATTTGGAGCATCAGAAAATAGATTCTTTGGGTTAAAGTCTTTATCTGTAGATTACAGCCCTGGAAATTTCACTGATTTGACCATTTCTAAAAAGTTCAAAACGAATGAAGGTAAGAAGAATAGCTTTGGAACTACACAGAGAAGGTTCCCTGAGAAGCTGAAATGTAGTGATATAGGAGACAACCTTGGACCTGGTAGCTATAATTCAAAGTTTGACTCAAGCTTTAGATAAAATTCTCTTTTGATCAACCATATCGATCTTTGCTTCTAAGGATTAATTTCAGCAATCCATTGCCCAAAAGGGGTTTTGGGGTTTTGGGGTTTTGGGG